CCCGTTTGTTTGGTCCCCCATCAGTCATATGACACGAGAATATTTTTGAATATTTCAAGAGTAAGTTTTCTAGCGCAAAAATAACCACAACGTCATTTTCGAGGTTTTTTTCCTTCTTTATTCACTGACTGTTTTGCCAGAATGTTGAACTAAAGTGAATCCACTCGGTGTGTGTTATTTCGCTTATTTTACATTCTGATGCCATCCATGATGGTTTCATTCACATTTGTTCCATGCTAAATTGGCCGAAAAAAGTGCATCATTTATGGTTTTCATGTCAAATTTTGTTTCGTATACCAGTGCCGAGTTAGCCATATGGCAAATGAGGCAGTTGCCTCGAGCACCACGTTCTTGGGGGCACCACAAGCATGGGAATTTTTTTTTTAATAATCTGAAAAAGAAAACACGCAGCCAAAAATGTTTTTGGTGCCCCAAAAATGGTATTTCTAAAAAAAATTTTGCTCGCTCCCGCTCGCATCCGATATGTACGTTCATTTTATCAATAACTATTTGCATAACGGGAAAAAATTGCAAGGGGCACCAAAATCATTTTTGCCTCGGGCACCAAATTTGGTTAACTCGGCACTGTCGTATACTATCTCCATCTCGCCCACTCTCTCTCTCTTGCTCGCTCTTCTACGGTGTTTTTTTGTAGTTGTTTTCATTCGAATGAAGAAACCGACATGGAAAACATCCTATAATATTCTAAAAGTTATTAAAGAGAAAAGTTAAAGCGCCGCAAACAATTTCACGAGTTGAGCGAAGAAAAGAACGAACGAAAGGAATAGAAGGGAAAAAAACAACGCATCGAAAACTAGTCGAAAGAATTTAAAATATATGATCATTTTTTTTCTCGTTCAAACTAGGTCATTCCCAACATGCTAGATGTTTCTACAATAAATTTTTATTTATTCCTTAATGCAGTCGCAATGCGTTCGCTCTCTGTTGCTTGAACTTTTCATGATTCCATTTTCCCTTAGCTCTTTCACTCTGCGGCTCTATCTATCCTCCTTCACTATATTGCTTTTCCATTCCGTTTGGGGTTTTCGTTTGGTTTGGTTTGGTTTTGTTCTGTTCTGGGTGCAAATGTGGGTTTCAATTTTGTCGAGTTTGTTTTCTGCCATGCTATTGTATTTGTTGCCTTTCTGTGGGCGATACAGTTTTCTGAATAAATCAATATTGGTGGAAGAATTTCGACTTCTTCATTCTTTTTTTTTGCTCTCATACTGATGCTATTGCTGGTGGTGTTGCTGTTGCCACTGCTTCTGTTCTCGTCTTGCACACAAAAGATGGATGGAATGAAGCTTATAGCGCTCCTATGCCAAACAAACAAACAAACAAATGGCAAAATTCAAAACGAAAAATCATTTGCACACAAACACATACACACAGCACTGCCCTCACCCCAAAACACACCAGAATGGAGTGCGACAAGTAGAAAGGAAGCTGAATGTATTGGGAGATACCGAATGTCAGCATGTGTTTGAATGGTGTTCACATGTTTGCTTGTGTTGGTGGTGTTCGTGTGATTTCGTTGTTCCATTTTTCGGTTGTAGCGGTGTGTTTCATTCATCTTCTCACAGCGTTGATAATAATTTCTCGGGCAATTTATTGATTCAGCTTTTGCGAATGGACCAAACAAAAATGTTGAAGCATCGAAGAAGAAAGAGTGAGCTCATTGCGTGTTTCGAATGCACTGTACAAAACAGTGACAAACGTAAAAACAATTTTAAACGAAAAAAATGAAGAGATTGTCACAGTGGAGCTGCAATAACGAGCTATAACATTTCTGTGTTTGGACTTGCTTCACTTTGTTTCATATGTGCATGAGTACGTTTATTTTTTTTTTCCTACTTCAGTCGACCCGCTGAAGCGGTGCCAATGGAAAAGAAAAGACAATAGAGAAGAGAGAACGAGAGACGGAGACAAAAAAAAACAAAAATGGCAAATTGAAGAACAAAGATGAGAAAAAAAACTCGCACATATACACAAACAGCATTTGTCGAAGGATGAGGTACATGGAAACCATCATGCTTTACGTGAAATTTATTACGTCTGCATTACGTTTGCA